GGTGCCAGGAAGGAGAGAGAAGATGCAGCCTCGGGCAGGCAAAGGGCAGCCTTGCCTCCTGTGGGCCCTTCAGGTGGATAAAAGGAGACGCGGACCCACGCAGTGTGATGGCCCTGGCCTTGTAGCCCGTGACGGGGAACAAAGTCAAGGACAGAGGGTCTCATTACATGTCAGTAATGAAAGAAGCCGCGATGACAAGTACTTCTTGGATTTTACATCTTACCCAACAATCAAAACATACTTGAAAATCCTCTGAAGTTACTATTCTATGGATACAACCCTGAAATAATGACAATTTCTACAAAGACAAACAAGTCTGAGTTCATCATCATCTGGAAATTGTCCCTTTATAATTGCCCCTCCCCAGTCACCATAACCACTAGTAGTAAAGAGTGAGCTCCTCAGCCCTTCAGGGTCCTTTACACGAGGCTCAATGCTGACCGGCTGGGGGCCTCTCCTTTCCAGGGAGCTTGCAGAATGAAGGTACGCTCCATGAGCACTACGTACAGAATGCTACAGAGACACCGGGGGCCCAGTGAGAGAGACTGGAGAGAGCAGAGACTTGGGGGACCTGCAGGCATCACTCCCCCAGGGAGGCTGGAAAGGACCAGGCACTTCCTTCCTTCTGGACTGAGTGGGTACAACAGCCAGGCTCTGCAGTGTGACAGGGACACCCGGGCAGGGGGGGTGTGATGGGAGCGGGGCTTGCCTCTCACTCCAGTGGCCAGACTGGGAGGAGGAGGTCCGGGGATCTCTGATGGAAGGTGTGAATCTACTAGTCTCACCTCATTAAAAAAGTAAAAACTACAAAAACAATAAAGTTAACAGCACTGGGACGTAGAGGCGATGTTTTCCCATCTTCTTTGTACTTCTATAAACAATCATTTAAGAAAAATTTTTTAGTTAATGGAGAGAAAAAAAAAAATCACCTTTTAAGATATACTTGACTCCCAGATAGAAATTTTCATCTATCTTTAAGGTCAGGTGGATTTCTAGACTCTACAATTCCATTCCATCCATCCGCCCATGCAAACATCTGTTATATTTTCATGGGCCAGGAACCTGGAGAAGGGAGGCAAAGGTGGGAGAAGGAGCACGGGGCTTGCGCACGCGCACACACGTGCGCAAGGGGCAGCTGAGGGGGGCGCCCGGAGAGTGAGACACACGCGGGACCTGTGTGACAAGCTGTTCTCCGTCCTCTGCTCTACACACGCTCATTCTCTGCCTGGGTTGTCCTGGAAACTTACTAGCTTCTCCTTCGAAACTGCTGGGATCTCCCCTTCCAAGAAGCCCTTCCTTGCACCCCCAGGTGGGAGGTGCTCCAGGGGCTTCCCCGGTACCCGCAAACTCCGCTGAGCATTCCCCAAGGGCTCACTCTCCCAGCCCTGTGCTCCACAACTCTCCTCACCTCTTTCCGGTGGGCGCTGTTCTCACCCGCTTTGGGGGGGGCGGGGGAGGGGAAGGGCAGGGAGGCGGTCAGGCTCATGGCTGGAGGCTCTGCGTTCTGAGCCACCGGGCTGAGTCTCTAAGCTGCAGGGAATAAATGAACTGTTGTGAGTGCCCCTTTGGAGGCCACATGACAGGCTGGCCAGAGCCTCGGAGGACACTCAGTACCGCAGACCTCTCTCGTCTCATCTCAGGGATGGGATGAGTATTTACACGCCAAACTCCCAGATTTTTACCCCTGGTTTTGGACTCCAGGTCCACGTATCTAACATCTACTGGCCTCTAGAGCTTGTCAAGTACACAACGGAACTCGGGTCTTCCCCTCCACTCCAAGCCTGCTCCTTCCCGTCCTCCCCAGTGCGGGAGGGACAGCCAGAAACCAAACTGCCAGCGGCAGCCATGGGGATTTTCAGACACCAACCCGACAGCCTCGCGCTCCGGCTCCACCCCCCCCCACCCCAGGGGCACAGCGCTCCGGTCTCACAGCCTCCTGTCACACCACCCTCCCTGGGGACACAGCCGCCTCTCTGCTCTCCTGGCCCCGGATGCTCTCCCACTCCAGGCCTTCACCTGCTCTCCCTTCTGGGAAACGCTCCACCTTGGGCTGGACCTGGCCAGCGGCCTCCGCACGGGAGGCCCTGCCTAGAACCTCCTTCAAGAGATGTCCGCCGCAACCCCTGTTCCTCTCCCTGCCTCCCCAGGCCTCTGCCTCCTCATACGCCACACGTCAGCATTTGCCCTAAGCGTGCGTGAGGGGTGCTACTGTTGGCACGTCTCTCCCTCTCTCTCGGGGTGACCACAGAGCAGGCCCGAGCGGGCACACAGCAGGTAAACCAAGGCCTGTCACCTGGATGAGACGTGGCCACTGCTCTTGCCCCAGCCGTCAGCTCTCATGCGAACGGGTACCAGCCTCCTCACCGGTCTTGCTACCCCTGCCGCTCTCCATTCCAACCCACCTTCCACAAGTGCTGACAAGCGTTCTAAAGGACACGCTTGACACACTCACTCCCTTGATTAAAAGCCCAAAACTACCCTGACAGCCTCCAGCATCAGATACAAATTTCTCAGTATGTCAGGGCATCTACAGTCTGGTTCCGATGTATCTGCTGGCTCCAACCCCTGCATCTCTGAGGCCTGCACGCTGACTTGGTCACGCACGGCCACCCAACGCTCCTCTGCACACCAAGCAGTTTTCTCCAGGTCTGAGAGCCTCTCTCACACTTCCCCAACCATCTTTCAAGACCCAGATTAAGTGTCACCTTCTGGAAATCTCAGACTTCCTCCACCGAACTTAACTTCTGCTTTATGATATTTGATACATGCTGAAGAATACAGTGAACACATAGCCCCTGGCACTTTGTTCCTAACACTCTGATAACATGCCCCAGGGCCCCATCCGTCCACCTTACTGAACTGTGAGCTCCTGGGGGGGTACACAAGGGCCCAGCCATCTGGCGACCACACATGGTGGGGCTTACAGTCTGTGACGAGGGAGCCCTTGTGGAAGTAATTTCCAGCTCTGTCGTCAGCTTACTACCTGCCTGGACGACTCACTTGCCTTCTCTTTGACTATTTCCTCTCTGTAAGATGAAAAAAGCAGCCTGCCCAACTATGCAGGGGACAAATATAAAACAGTCTGAAACCTCTAACTCTCATTCCAAGGCAAAGCATGGCGTGATGACAGCTTCAACCACCATTCCTGGCATGCTCAGAGAAACAGACCTCTGATGACCCTTGCTCTTAGACATCCTGACCAAAAACTGATGAACATGGTAGCCACACAGCCATGGCAATCGATTTCAGCCTCAGCTGGCATTTAACCCTGCACAGTCCTACAGGGTGAAAAGCCATTTTTCGGATAAACTACAAGACGAGCAGGAGACAAGTCGTGCTGAAATCACTGAGTGACGAGCTGCCTCCTAGCCTGCAATACCCATTGCTGTCCAGAGCAAGGCATGGATCTAGCTGACGCGTCCAAGTGCTCTCGCGGCCCCGAGACGCCTGCCTCCCCCGTGATGACACACAAGCCCCTCTTGTTCTCTGAGCGGCATTCTGTGCCATCCTCAGCCGGAGCAGCCTCCCGAACTCGTTTATCAGCAGCCCTTCCCCCTCAATAACACGCCCCCTACCTGCATACAAACAAAATCCCACAAGGACTCCAAATTGTTTCCGGTGACAGTGCAGAGAGGAACGGTTACTCCCCCACAACCTACTCCCCCACAAGCGCCACCAGGAGAAAAAAAAATTCATTCAGCTACTGGGTAATCCCTTCCCCAGATGTTATTAGTAAAAGACTTAGGTAAATAAAACAGTTTTCTGCTTCAGACTTATTTTTAACAGAAACTGGGATAAATACTTTTCTTCTAGAGTTTTGCCAATCCACATGGCAAGCTCTGTTTCCGGTCAACCCAGATGCAACTAGAAGAGGAGATGGCGTGGTTCAAGAGATCTCACCAAATCCACGGGCAATGCCAGACTGAAGCACCGTGGATGCAGACCGGTTGTGTAGACAGCACGGGCCACGACACTGCTAAAGAATCCGAATTTTAACTGCAATTTGTCAGCTTGAATATTCTTGCCCAAACAAAATTATTTCTTATGAACCAGAACCTATACTGCACTTCTGTTCCAAGTTCATAACATCAAAACCAGACAACAGCACACCAGCACCTGCCTTTCCTGAGAGAGGGATCCCACATGACCTGACCCTTGTCACGTTGGGGCCAGGGTCACCAGCTGACACTGGGACCCAGGGCTTCTAAGTCAGCAAGCCCACCGCATCTTTCCCATTTGCTGGGAAAGCCGCCCTGAAACAGAGGAGGGAGTACGGCGAATCTGCCATGGCAACTCCGAGGGCCAAAAAGGCCCCGTGACAGCTTTACCACACTACCTCTGTGGCGACTTCTATGGGTCACATTTAACAGTTCTGACATGTTCCTGAACACACAGCTCACATACTCAGGCTCCCTTCAGAACAAAACTGGAGATGCCAGAAACCCAGCACATGCTTATATCACTAGCAAAAACTATGTCATGTGATCCAACTTTAAGTGCCAGCATTTCAAATATGTCAAAGGTGATTTTATAGCAAATATTTCCAAGAGAAAGAAAACTACCCCTTAGCCAAATACCTGTCAAATACAGACACAAAAGCCTGAGCTACCATTTAAGTGGCCTAAGGAATTATTATCAAGTTCTTTGATCTGCATGAAATTTTCTGGTGATGTGAACTAAAATTCCGTATCTTCTTATTTAAATTATAAATATCAAGTGACAGTTTCATCCCTGTCTCCATTATAGAAGAGTTTTAAAGCACCTGCTATAGACACCTGAGCATGCGCCATAAAAAAAATGCACAGAACAGTTACCCCAAGGAAGAACAGGTATAAGTCAACAAGTTAATTCACCACATTTAACCAGGTAATACTAGGTAGGACAGTTGAGAGAATGAAAAATGGGCTTAGCTCGACGTGTAAAATAAGGCCCACTGCCCTTGGTAAGAACGTATAAATTCTTAAAGGGATTCTTAACAGCTAAGACAGGGTGCTACTTACTTCCTCATTAAATAGTTTGCTAGTTTCTTTTTTGATTGGATCTATAAGCTGGACTTGGCCTGCGGAAAAGCCCACTAGGAGAGAGACACTTTCTGCTGTGGCTGTTAGGTGGTTGAAGTCATGACAAGTAGGCTGTGTTCCTTTGTATATCCTTTTATCTATTGGTTTACTCAAGTCAGCAGCCTGGAGGAGAAAGAGAAAAATACATACGGTAAACAGCACATTGAGATGAGAAATCTAATAGTTACACTATTTTATACTCCATTATGATGTTCAATCTTAAAAACAAAGGTATTTAAAATTTTTTTTTCAGTTTTCAGCATCTTGTAAAAGCACTTTCATATACATTAGCCAATTTGATATTGTTAGACTATTCATAATATGTTCATAACTGTTACTTCCATGACTTATTCTTCAAATATCTTTAACAAAACTCCTGGACTTCAGGAGGAAAAATCATTGAAGTACTAAATTCAGTATTTGCAAAATGCATTCATTCCAAGCAATTTCTAAGAGAGTACCTCTAACCACATAAAAACTCAGCTTGCAAATAGATCTATAGCATCTAAATGCTCATTGGTGAGTTACCTGTAGCCCAGGGGTTCTCAAAGTGTGGTCTGCAGACCAGCGGTGGCGGCAGCAGCATCACCTGGAAACTCAGAAATGCAAATTCTCAAGCCCCACCCCATGCCAAAAGAATCTGAAACTACAGGGGTGGGCCTAGCAAGCCTTCCAGGTGATTCCGATGCTCACTCAGATTTGAGAACCACTGCTGCAGCCAATTATAAGCAGGTGCCTTCTTACTGGGCCCCAGCCCCTCTTCTGCACCAGCATTCAGGTACCTACACTTACTGAGCCCACACTCAGAGTGCGCGACATGCATCATCTTTAAACCTTACAATGATCCTTCAAAGTAGAGAACATTCCCCCATTTTACAGATGAGAAAACAAGTTTAGGGAAGTTAAATAACTCAGCCAAGGTCACCATACCTACCTAAGTAAGTGGCTGGATGTAGAACCCAGGATGGGGAGAACACACACCCACATACCCCAAAGTCAGAAGCAAAGGACTTCCGACTTGGGCCAAAAAGTGATTTTTCAGTATGCCTCCTTGTATATCCCTAAAGCGGAACTTTTTTCTTCATGAGAAATGTTCTATGAAATCTAATGCGCTGGGCTGATGTGGAAATTAAAGACGCCACCCTCCAGCCTTAGTGGAAAGTCACAGGTGCAGACCACCAGGTTGCTGAGCGCATCCTCGGACACGACCACTGGGGCCACCGCTCTTGTTCTCTGCTGACCAACCTGAGTTAGGTTCTGAAGATTTCTTTCTTTCAAAGAGGCCTGTGACATTGTGCTGAGGATTCTAATGTTTCGCTTTCCAAATAACAAAGTAGAAAAAGAGGACCTCAAAATTACAGGCATCTTTGTTTGAGCAAACTCCAAACCCGAACATTTGGAAGTCTGGACCCGAGTGGAACATGCACTCTGAGAGCCCAGGGCAGAGGAATGAGGATACATGCCATGCGGACACTCTCCCAGCCTCACCTCAGTTAAAACGGAGATGAGAATCTCTGTCCTACCAACCTCATGGGATTGTCTGGAGGATGAAATAAGAGAATATGTACATGAAAGAAGCTTGAAAAGTGTAATATATAAAGTACGATACAAAACACAGGGAAGTCCTGACTTTGCAGCAGGTGAAAAGGGGCCAGCGGAGGAGGGAATAAGTGCTGAGGCAGGTTGAAGGCTATGCCCAGCAGGTGTGAGGGAGCTACAGGAGCCAGAGAAAGCCACCTCTGCCCGCCCACAGTGACAGGACAGGGACAGGCCGACCGACAGAAGCTGCTCCCAGGCTGGGCTCTAGAGGCAGGGAAAAAGAAGCCGGGCTAAGGGACCTTAGCAAATCATTTCAGAGCAAAGACAGTATCAGCAAATGTCAAAAGAGCTCAAAAAAGAAAGTAAAAGACACTGGCAGCTAGACACAAAAACCAAATCCGAAATAGGAACAATTAAACTATTACATGATCTCTGTATCAGCATTTTTTTAAGTTTGTTTAGTGTACTTCCTCAAGAAACATATGTAAAATTATGCATAAAACTATAAAAATCAATTCAAAGGCAAGCCAAAAATTAGAGAAAACATACTAATATAAATTAAATGAGCATCCAGTGGTTCTCAGAAACAACAGAGGAAATAAAAGCACCCGTTTTTCTGACTATTGCTACTAGTATAGAGTTAAACTTACAGATTGCTTACAGTAACTATATTAGCTCAGTTCTTGGTATATTTATTGTACATCCTGGCCTCCTAATAAGGAACTTTACTGAAAAGATGTCATCTGTAAATAGATCACATGTATTTTAAATGCCAACTGAAAGACTACTTTTACTCTTAAATCATGTAAATACTCCTAAAATATCCTGTTTACTAATCTGCTTAATAACTTTCCTCCCAGACCAGGGCTCTCAAACTGTACCAGGCCGTGCCAGCCTGCTGGTTGGCAGCAAGATTAAGTACAAAGATGGAGAATAAGCATTCAGAAACTTCTCTGGCAATTGGAAAGCATAACTTTGTATCTGTTGACTCTAATAATAAAAATCAGAATTTGTATTCTGCATGCCTTTTTCAGTTTCATGTCCCCGTAATTCTTTTTTTTTTTCAATTTCAGAAAAGTATCAGTCCAGATAGACTGGAAATTTTAACTGGTCCTTCAACACTGGTGAGAAGCACTGTCCTAGGAGGCACCAAAGTAAACCGAGGCCCAAGAAACACTCAGAGTACCTCTTATCTAAGGTCACGTCCCGTCCCCAACCCCCAAGGGCACCAATCCTCCTAGAGCAGCACAAGTCCCGCCAAGCAACCTGGCCCCTACATGTACCAAGCAGCAATTGCTGTGAAGCCCTAAGTGACCGCTAGGTGTGTGCCCATAAGAGAGTCGACTTCTGAGAAGCCCGTGGACTCTACCGCTGGCGCCTGAGCTCTGGAGCCCAAGACCAGGGCCAGAAAGTCAGGTCCCAGCGGCCGCCTTCAATCCGAACAGTGCTGTCATCTCTGTCCCATCTTGTCTTTCCTCTGCACCCAATCACCAAGTTTGATCTCTTTTCCAGTTGATGTGTTGCGGCCCTATTTCTTCTTCCTCCTCTTCTTCTCTTCTTTGGGGGGTGGCGGGGTGCCAACATGGACAGCGAACTCACAGACCTTTTAGTAGCAGCAATAACCAGCTGAGCCAGCCACACCTCTTCTGCAGGGGGTCATCAGAGGGCTTCCCAGGGAGAGGCAGTCTGGCAGAGGAGAAAGAACCCAGACTCTGGAGCAAGGCAGGCCTAGATTCAAACCCTGCCTTCCCTCTGGGTAGACTGGGGGCCCGGGCAAGGTGCTCCTTTCCTCTCCGAGAACAAAGCGCCCAGCCCCACTGCCAGGCAGTTGGTGAGGCCCACTAAGAACGGATCTACAAAGCACAGCGTGTGCAGGCGCACTCGAAAGGCAGCTACCGTTGTGAATCTGTCCCTGTCACACCCTACCTCTCTGGTCAAATGCTTCAGGAGCTTCCTGACTTCCACCACACGGGAGCGTGAAGTCCACCTGCGGAACACTTGCTGGGCACCAGGAGCTCCACATTCACAACTCTCACCTCACAGCTCCCCACAGAGGGCACTGATCCCACCCACCCGCCATCCTCCGAGGAGGAACCGGGAAGGGATTCAGGCCTCCAGGGCCTGGCTCCAGCACTCTACAGCCCCTGCCCCCCAGCCTCTGCTTGCCCTCCCCACCGCAGTCCTGAGTGTGCTGCAGGCACACAGCCCGTCTCCTGGCTCCAGGAGGTCGCTCTCCCGGTTGGGGTGGGGGAATTTTACCCAGTGGTTCAAGCCCCACCTCCAACAAGCTTTTTCCCAACCAACTTTGGGTTGGCTCCTTTACCTTAATTCTAGAAGTCTTTAGATCGGTCCACAAAATTAAGTACTTAATCACTTATATGATTACAGTATTGTTTTATGTCTGTTATCAATTACAACAAAATTAAAACTACAATAAAAACTCCTTTAAGGAGCAGAACTTCTTTATTAAATAGTTACCCCTGTATTATTCCACAAAATCAGCTTTTATGTTTCAGCTTTCTGGTAAATTCCACATAGACAGGTTACTGACACTTGAGATTTTTTTTAATGCGTCTCCATCCTAATGATTGCCAGTTACCTGATTTCTTAAGCATGAATTTATAGAACACATTTTTAAAAAAATCTTACCAATATTAAGAATTAGATCACATTTGGTTACTCAGCCCCAGTAGAGTGTCCAGTCTGTCACAGTGCTGTCTGTTGAACAAATGGAACTGCAACTATTCCAATTTTTTCAGGTAAGATTAAACTGTATCTTATGCTCATTTGTTTCTGCATAAGGAGTTACTGATTACAAATAATTTGTCAGTGTCTCGTTCTCAATAGAAAACTTTTAAATGATGGTTTAAAGTTCCTACTACAAACACAAGCTGGTTATCAAAATCCTTGATCAATAAGTACAAACAATGATGTGACGTTTCCCTCTCCAGCACCACAAAGGTCTGCAAAAGCAGCCCTCTTATTCCAGCTCACATCTCCACCCCAGACCCGCGCCTGGCCCGCTGGGGAATGCCCAGCGAAAGGAAAGCCCCCACAGGTTCAATGGGCCTGCTCACACTCCCCTTAGCGGAACCCAGAGGAGACATGTGGGCCTGTGCCATGCCCCCTTCGTAGAACCTGCTACCTGATACTCCTGAGTGCCCGGAAGCATTTGGTGTGGTGTGGAAAATATCTCAGAAAGACCTCTTTTGAAAAAAGGATGTCAGATGATGATATGGGGGGGGAGGCAGTGTTGGTAATAAAGGTGCACTTTATTTTCCCTACATGTTATATTCTCCCTCCCCATGCAAAAATCACTTCAAAAACCAGTCCCACAGAACTTGCCAGAAAAGAGTCCTTCCACCCATTTTTCTACCCACGTCCAACTAATCCCACAGATGATGCCACATTCATCTTCATGAAGCTTTAGGTCACTCTCCCACTTAAAACCTCCATGGCTCTGCCCTAACACCGGCTGAATTCCTCGGCTTGCACTCACAGGCCTTTCCAACATGGACCTCATCACCCCCTCCCCCTTCATACACGTTTCCTCCAAAGACACTTGTTCACATGCTGCCTGTACT